TATTGCTGAAAAACACAATCACTACTTAGCAGTCAGATGTCCGTATGCACAAAGGCACAGATCCCTAAACAAGATCATATCTGCAGACGAAACTTTGTTTGTAGAAGCATTTTTAAAATTTGAACTAGCACCTCATGACTACACCACGTTATGTACGAGAAGCTGCAAAAGATACGGGCGCAAGTGGAATGCAAAAAACATGGTGAAATTAATTTTTAAGTAAATATAATGTGCGATATATTGCATCACCAAAAATTATTGAGGTCATGTACATATATTGCGCAATAAGTCGATATATTGATTATTGCGACAGGCCTACTGACAAGCAGAATGCTGACAACAAAACTTTTCTTATATTTACACATTATGATATAGTTTAGCAATATCACAAGTGCAAGAGTACTGGACCACTGTTACACCACAATAAAGGATGCATAACAAAATGTCTCTCTGATCAGAGAGAAAATGTCTGTCTGGTTCGTCTTACACCGATACAGGCAGAAACTGAAATCAGCTAAACCTGTAATAAGGACTTGCACTTCGACTGCACTGATCGGAGTGTTTTTTAGGCTGCATCCACCGATCTGGTCGACTTCACAGATACTGTAATTTCATATATCAGTTTCTGTGAGGATATGTGCATTCCTACCAGGACTTAACTTACAACAACGACAAACCATGGTTCACTGCAAAACTCCAACAGCTTCGTCAGGTCAAAGAAGATGCTTACAGGAGTGGGGGCAGAATCTTGTTTAAACAGGCCAAAAACACACTGGCAAAGGAGATCAGATTGGCTAAGAGGAGCTACTCTAAAAAGCTGGAAAACCAGTTTTCAGCAAACTACCTTTCTTTAGTGTGGAAAGGCCTGAAAGACATCACAAACTACAAGACACCATCCCCCAGTTCTGAGGCGAATCAACAATATGCTGAAGACCTGAATAAGTTTCACTGAAGATTTGAAACTCCCGGTCTCACACCCCACACGACAATCTCTCTACGAATCCATCAACACCTCCGACAACCCCCGTCTCCCCCACTACTGCACTCCAGGTCAGTGAAGATGATGTGCGTCAGGTCTTCGGGAAACAGAAGAGAAGAAAAGCACCAGGCCCAGACTGTCTTGACAACCTGTGCTGACCAGCTGGCCTCCATCTTTTCACAGATCTTCAACAGATCACTGGAGCTGTGCAAAGTCCCTTCCTGCTTCAAACACTCCACCATCATCCCCATTCCAGAGAATAGGGCCTAACATCTGTGGTCATGAGGTAATTTGAAAGTCTTGTACTGGTCCACCTGAAGGACATCACTGAACCCTTACTGGACCCCCTGCAGTTTGCTTGTCATGCAAACAGGTCTGTGGATGATGCAGTCAACATGGGACTGCATTATATCCTTCAACATCTAGACAAACCAGAGACTTCTGTGAGGTCTCCTGTTTGTAGACTTCAGCTCGGCCTTCAACACTATCATCCCAAACCTCCTCCTGTCCAAACTAACCCAGCTCCCTGTTCCTAGCTCTATCTGTCAATAGATCACCAGCTTTCTGACAGACAGGCAACAGCTAGTGAGAATTGGTAAATTCACATCCAACAACCGCACCATCAGCACTGGCGCCCCCCAGGGATGTGTGCTCTCCCCACTGCTCTTCTCCCTGTACACCAACGACTGCACCTCTACTGACCCCTCTGTCAAGCTCTTGAAGTTTGCAAACGACACCACACTTATCGGCCTCATCCAGGACAATGATGAGTCTGCATATAGAAGCAAGTTTGAGCAGCTGGCTGTCTGGTGCAGTCTTAACAACCTGGGGCTGAATACGCTCAAAACAGTGGAGATGATTGTGGACTTCAGGAGAAACCACCTGCACTCCCACCACTCACCATCATGAACAGCACTGTGGCTGCAGTAGAGTCATTCAAGTTCCTGGGCACCACCATCTCTCAGAACCTGAAGTGGGGCAATCACATTGACTGTTTAAAAGGCCCAACAGAGATTGTACTTGCTGAAACGGTTCTACTCAGCGTCACTAAGTCTGTCCTGTGCACTTCAAAAACTGTCTGGTTTGGCGCAGCTACAAAATCAGACATTAGAAGACTACAGAGGACGGTTTGGACTGCTGAAAGGATTATTGGTGCTCCCCTGCCCAATTTTCAAGAACTGTACATATCCAGAGTGAGGAAATGGGCTCAGAAAATAACTCTGGATCCCTCACATCCAAGCCATCTCCTTTTTGAACTTTTACCATCTGGCCGGCGCTACAGAGCACCGAACACCAGGACATCCAAACGCAAGAAAAGTTTCTTCCCCCAGGCAATCTACCTCATGAACAGTTAAATGTTCTCTCCTACTGTTCAATAAAAATATGTGCAATACCATTTTTATTCACCTAATACTACCAAACAAACAAACAAAATGGCGTTTTAAAATGAAAACGATCCTTGTCTACACTTGCGTTTTCACTGCGTTTCAGAAACAATCTCCGTCCACACTACACAACCAAAAACGCATGTCACATGACCATTCATGCAGGTACAACAATGAGCATGATGTTCATTGTTCGCAGAGCGAATGTGGGCAGCCACGCCATCGTTTTCAAAAGTCTCCGTTTTGGTCCGTTTACACTGAAACGCAAACCCGGAGTTTTCAAACTAAAACGGGTCTGCAGCGTTTTCGAAAGTCTCTGTTTTCGAGGGTTGAAAACGCTGGAGTAATGTAAACAACAGGCGTAACCGTAGCAAAAGTTATAAAGTTTTAAAACGAAAACGCACTAGTGTAAACGTAGCCTAAATCTGCTTTTTTCTATTCAATACTTTTCTCATTCAACACAATGAATTAATTTCTCAGCCCAAACTGATGTGCAGTTCATTTGCAATTGATTGGACTAATCGCCACATGTTATTAATTCGATAAAAAATTGTGATTGCTTGAAATTTTTTTAAGATGGCCCCTACCTATCCAAATGTATGTTTCTTAGCCAGAATATGTTGCAATAAGGACCACAAGTCAATTACTGGGTTAGCTGTGGTTTTAAAGTGTCATATTCTGACATCTGGATGGTTATGGAGTACAAAGAAGAAGAAAATCTTTTCAAGAAAATCTAAGTTTTCACAGGTTAATGGGGCTCTAGTTTAATAACTGTGATGTTTCAGCTGTGTAAATTATTAAGGAAGTAGATAAGAGAGAGAAAGTGCCGCCCAGAAAATGAGTAAGGCCTGGATTTTTTCACACTCTGTCTCTGTCTGGAGGAAGAGCAGCAGCGATTCATCTGCCTCGTCAAACATACGGCGCCGGCTCCTCAATTACCAGCGACCTCAGCTGTTACCAGCACATGTAAAGCACAAAGAACACGCAGTTAATTTCACCAAGCATTAAAAGGCTGAGTGAAAGAGCACATGTGTGCCAAGTAACGGAATGGCAATTAATGGAGCTTCAAAGTTGGCTATGATCGCTGGCAGGCAGCTGTGTTTTTTTTAAAGGTGGTGTCACTGATTCACTGAGGTCTCTATGCCTGTCTTCCTGTCTCTCTGTCTCTCGCTGGCACACCTGTCGGGGACGGCTCAGAATTTAATGAACAGTGAAGAGATACCGGTTGTTTGTTTCTTACTGGTAAATGGCTGATCAAACTGAGAGGCGTTTAGGAAACCTGTGTTTTTAGTTGTTGTTTGCGGTTGCATTCATGATTGATTGACATCGCTGTAGTTGTTACTTACATTTTTTTGACGTCATGTGAATCAAACTTCAAACTCCAGTCTCACTGATTGATGCATATTATATAAATAAATTTGTTGTTGAAGTGTATTCTTTTATTTCTAAATTCTGTTTCATCATCATTCAGAATATGCCATCCATCTCATGTATTTTA